CTCGGGGGTTTAACCCCCTAGCTTCGCCGCTGTGTCGCCCTCCCGCAGGAGGACCAGACTCTCTCAAAGGTTCGGGCAGGTACGTCTCGCCCTGTCCACTCCAACTCTGCGGTGCCCCTCTTCGGACTTCCGCAGTAGCTCCGGCGCCCTCCATGGCGCCGCTGCCAGCAGCAGCACCCTCCGTGGTGCTGCCTGACCCTTCTCCTTTGGCCAACAGCTTCGACATCATGGCCATCATGCCGTCAAACTTGCTGTCCAGCGATGCTTCCAACGAGGCTACCTTGCCTCGTAGCATCTCAACCTCATCTGGTCTCCCACCAGGATCACCACCGGGAGCATTTTCGCTCCCGTCTCCATGGCTCTCCATTTTCCGAATGGACTCCCTCGAGGGATGGATCACTAGTGTGTTGTATATGTCCGCGACTTGGAAGGGAGAGACTGAATATCGCTTGTATTAGAAACGCAGAAGCAAGAGAAGAGAAGAAGAAGAGTGCTTCCGGAAAACAGAGAAGCAGGGGTCACAAACACAAGAACCCCAAAATGGTATGTCAACGTTCCTATCTGCGAATATATCCGTTACTGCGGTCGATCAATACCTGTCCGTATCCAAACACACGAACACATGTTGGTTTCAGCCAACAGGTGTCTTGAAATTTCTTGCCGCCCGCCACCGAATCCCCGCCACCTGCTCGTTAAGCTGCGTTGAGGTGTGTAATCATCGAGTCTGTTTCGTCTACTGTCGTCCTCTCGCTTGCTCTTCTCTTTTGCCCGCCTCTTTGCGTGTCACAGAGACAGGCGTGCTTGTTGTGCCGTGTGTGTTGGATAAAATGCGGCACCAAAGTGCCGCCGTCCCTCTATCTTGACGTGGACGGCGGTAATAGTCTAGCAGCTACCGAATAGAGCCACCGCATAGAGCAACCTCAACCTCCCATTGGTATGCAACTTCGTGAACGATTCCATTGAGCGATCAGAACAGCGATGGTCGGAACGCGACTTGCTTGTGACCAACCCTGCCATTATCACTAAGAATGTGGACGAACAAGGTGAACAAGGAAGGGTTGTGGTGGTCAACGACCTTGTAGGTGAGACCTGTGCTCCGTGGGGAATCCGTTTCAAAGGCATTTGATGCGTGCAACACATTTGTAAAGTACAGTTGAGGCCCGCACTTGAGAACCTCCTATTTTGAGCGAGGCTCGGTTCTTATTGGCTGTCCCAACCCGAGCACGTGTTCTTATTGGCCATGTTCATATTTTGCCGTCCCATTTTTCTCCAGCGAAATGTTCTTGTTCTTATTTCAACACCAATTGGCCCTGTTGGCGTACTTTGTATGACGACGTACTTTGTCGGCGGGTGTCAACTGCACTCGGCGGATGTTTAGTCTAAAGTGTTTAGCATGAGGAACAATGCTGTTGTTTGGTACACGAACACACCAAGGCATGCAGCTGCAACTGTCAACTATCTTGGTTCATAAGGGTGACGTTGGTCCTGCGTACCCTCCCTGATCTACTAACGCTCTCAAGCAAAACCCAGGAGCCTACCGCCGCATCCAGATCTCCGGTGTATTTGTCTAAGGGCAGCTTAATCTTGCGCGTACTCTGGTCTTGCTCCAGCTGCACACAGTAGTCGTACAGGTGGCGAGTGTCCTGCTGAGATTGCTGAATGATCAACCCTCCAAACCACCCCATCCCCAGCCTAACGAGCACTCCACGTCGCAAAAGCAATCTGTCAAGGGCAACGGGTTTAACTTCTTGAATGCGAAAGCCTGTCGGGATCTCCATTTCTTGTGTCTCGTCCTCCGGGTCTTGTGGGTCCATGCTGTCGTCGTCATCGAGAAGAGCTAGCTCGTCGGTCTGGGTTTGAGACGTGCCTGCAAACGGGGCACCGTGAAACACCACAAGAAGTAAGGCTCATCGCTGCCGTTCTCCAAACCTTCTTCGTCCTCGCTACAGTCTTCATCGATTGCGAAGGTGTACGGCTTGTCCAAACCCTTCAAGGTGATTCGATCATCGCCTGAGCCGTCCACAGTCATGGCCATCCCGCACTTTCCGAAAAGGCGGAATCGGAACGCCTGTTGGCTGTTGAGTCTTGCCATGGCCGCTCCAATCCACTGAGTGATCAGTACCTGCCGATCAGAAGCTGTCAGCGCCGCGGGTTCCCACCTCTCGAGGTTGTCCGACTGCTTGAGCCACAAGTCCATCTGCCTCCCAGCTTCCACCTTGATAAATCGTCCGGCTCCTGCATCAACTGGCTGCACCTCGTCCGTGCACTCCGGAGGGCCATACCAGGCGAAAGTGTTGCACACCTTCGCAAGATACTCCTTGAACTCGTCCGTCGTCTGCGCGTGCAAGTTGTCCATGATAAGAATGGACCTCGCCTTGGGAAGCTCACCCCGCCCGTGCATCAGGCCTTCCGGTAGGACCTCTTAGCCCACTCCATACAGAACTTTTGGTCGGCCCAAGCATTCTCCTGGAAAGACACGTCCACGTCCTTGTGGTACGCGGCCTTCTCCGCCGGCGAGATCCGCTTCCCCGTGCCTCGGAAAATCACCGAAATTCTCAAGGTCCTNGTTGTCCATGATAAGAATGGACCTCGCCTTGGGAAGCTCACCCCGCCCGTGCATCAGGCCTTCCGGTAGGACCTCTTAGCCCACTCCATACAGAACTTTTGGTCGGCCCAAGCATTCTCCTGGAAAGACACGTCCACGTCCTTGTGGTACGCGGCCTTCTCCACCGGCGAGATCCGNTGCCTTTTCTCTAGGCCAGGAAAGGGCTGTGAGATGGCGACACGCTTCGCACCTCGCTCCTCCCACGTATCGAGCAGCCCGTTTACGAATGACAAAGGCACTTGATTCACATTCCAACGCTCCCAGAGCTGGAATTGGCCATACTTGGGAACTCTGTACTCCCTCTCTGCGACCGTCGTAATCGCCGATACGTCCGACTCATCGGGTGCCCTGTACCGTACCGGCTCCTGCAGGAGCTTGCGAAACAGTCGGTGGAAGCGCTGGATCTTTGGTAGACGCTCCTGAACAGACTTGTTCTTGAGGTTGGTCCGACGTCTTTTGGACAGGTTGTGCCTCTTGGCCCATTTTCGTGCCCACCTGAAGGATGCGCGGAACGCCGCCGCCCGTTGGTCCCCGGGATACATCTCTCGCACGAGCTTCCGGAACGTGATCGTCAGCCACAGGGTCGATACCTTCAGCTTCCTCTTACGCCGCTCCACGAACATCTTGTAAAGCCTCTTTCTGCCTCAGGAACCCACCGCTTAGGCTGCTACTTGGCGAGGAGGCTCTTCTTCACGTCGTCTGCTGCCGCCGCCACTATGGCCTTCTCGTCCTTGGCCCACTTCACGATGTTGCTGTAGTGAACCTTTTGAGACGATCCTCTAAGTACTGAAGCGGCGTGCGCTCCTCCTCCTTCCAGAGGTCCGAGGCGTTGTCCTCGAGGATGCGCAGCTGGTTGACAGCACTGGCTTTGAACCTATAGTCGTATCGCCTGCGCTTGGGAGCTCCACGAGTTTCCTTGGTTTCGCGGTCCATAAAGCCGTCGCTTTTCCAAGTCTAGATCGAGAAAGCGCTTCCGCTGGAGGATGGCCTTAATGTTTGGACTGCAACAAAAACGATATCAAAAAGCTACCATGCAACAAAATAACTAAAATAGATATTGCAAGAAATAGCTTAGGCAAAAAAGCCACGACTGCGTAATTTTGAAATATTAAAGCAAATTACATGCGTAATGCTTTGATTGTAGGATTTGAACCTACGACCCACGATCTAGAAGACCGATGCTCTATCCACTGAGCTGAAAATGCCAAGAAAAATGTTGTAAAATGATTCCTTGTCATTTGTTTTTACTAATTTTTTTCTTAAAAGCTTTTTGACATAGACGAAAAATTTCCAGACTTTAACTTACGTCTGCAACTATATTTTTAAGTTTGCTGTTAGTTATTAATAATCCTATTGAATCACAAACTTTATGGAATGCTATTTTAGTTTTTTTGTGCAAATGGTTTTCGTGTTGGTACAAATTCTCCTAATTTGTGTCCTACCATTTCAGGTTTAATTTTTCGGGCAATCATATCTTTACCATTATGAGGGGGTACATTCTTTGAATGTACCCCCTAACTAAGTAAAATAAGAATATTTAAACATATTTTAAAACTAATACAACGAAGCCGCCCCCGTCGCATCATCGACCTTCACGTGTCAACAACGCCCAGGCCCGGCTTCTTCCCACGGCAGGACACGCCCTTCGAGATTCTCCCGTAGTATCCGCCGCAGCCGCACGCCGTTGGACATGTCTGCAATGCTGTGCTGCGTTCTCACGTGGATCCCAAGGCCTTGCTCGTTCACGAAGGTCATGGGACAGTGAGGGCAGGATCGGCGGGACTCCAGGGCCGGAGGCGGGAAGCTGATACCGGATATGAACTCTTTCACTCCACCATAAGTCCGCTCAATCTGCTCGGTGCGATGGGAAAGGGCGGAATTGCCGTGTAGGGGATTCCACTCGCCATGTGACGTGTCAGTCGCTCTTAGTTGTGGCGCTGGCAATTTCAAACTTCCGTGGATGTCGCTGGCAAAAGTGTCTGTGCACTCTGAACGAATACTTCCTTGAAAAGATTATCGTGAATCACACGAGAGAGTGGGGAGATGACGTCTGTTTCGTTTGGGTCAAGTATTAGACAAATAGAGACTTCCCTATTTCTTTTCCACTTTTTCTCTTGCTTAGACTATCGGGAATTAAAAAAACAAAACAAAAAAACGCTTGTGTAGCAAAACAAAGCAACAGCGTGCGTCGGATACATATGTAACCGAGCTCACCGGTTGTCCGCTGCCAATCGAGAACGCGTTGCAGATGTTGCAGCCTAAAGTGCCTTTCGCAGCTCTCTCCCTGGCGTGCTTCCCTCGACCCTCCTTCCTCCTCGCGGTACCCGCTGCAGCAGCAGGTGGGTGCTGAGAAGGTGCAGCAGCACCTCGTGCACTGCGGCATCTTGTTGGGATGACAAGGACAGGCGGGTGCTGCTGGTAGTGCCCTGGATTTCACCATCAAACTGCGCGATCCACTCTCCTTTGTCGAAGATACCGTTCTGATTCAACCCCCACGCGCTCTCGATGGCGTCCCACCGCTCCTTCGCAACGGAGTTTCCCGCCTTCACATGTGTTTGTTATCGTCTCGAAGTGACGGTCAAGAATCAGACCCCGTCCTTTCAACTCTGCAAGTTTGCCAAGATCTTTCAACAACCCATGGGATGAAGGATTGGACAGGGACATGATCCCCCTGTACGGCAGGCAACTCGTGGCCCGCTGCACGTGCGTGGCCTGGCAGCCGCCAAGGGGGCGCGACGTGTACAGTGCCCNCCCCCCGCCTGTCCCCCCCTCCCCGTTCGAATGTTCTTATCTCGCAGCCGCTGAATGTGCTCGTGTTCTTATCTTTAGCAGCAGTGGTACACCTCAGGCGTGCTCTCTTATTCGTGACTGCAGGTGCAATCTGAGGACGTGCCACGTGTTCATACAGGCTAATTCTTATGTATTGTTTTTTTTAGCACCATATTCTTAAGTGCCTCAACTGTACTCACTGTTGAGCTGTCTGCAAGGTGAGTGCCAAGCTGTTGATTCGACGTACGTGCAGTCTAGAAGAATAGACATTTATCGGACAACACGAGCGCGCTAAAGTAGGCCTGAATGCTGTAGAACCAAGAAGATCACGGCACTCGAGAAAGGGACGGTTTGTGGGTTGGGTTGCTCAAGATGAGACTTGGATGTGAGAAAGGGGCGGCTTGTGGGTTGGATTGCTGAAGGTGAGACTTGGATGTGAAACAGCCGAGCGGTACGCGTTTATTCCCAGCTTGTGGTGCGTCGGAGTAGGAGGGGTGCCCAAAGTAATCGATGGTAAGGTCTTTCTTCCCAGCTACCACATTGGCATGGGCAGTCCCGGTAGAAGACACCCCTCCCCGGCCTGCTCCCCGACCGGGGCCGAAATCGACCTTGTGAGTCCCTCGCGGGCGAACCAGGCCACAACAGATAGTAGGTGGGTGGTGTCCCAAGGTGCAACTCACCGCCGCGCTGGCTCAGCGTGGCGGTGAGGATGCACAGACGGTGGTAGTGGCGAGAGGTGTATGTGGACCTTGTCCCCGCGGCAGCAATGCAAAGCGGCAAACTGCACCTGGTAACCACCGTCGCGGAAAAC